AAAAGCCGTAGAGAACCATTTGAAGGAGACGCTGTAGTGGTAGTCGTTGGTGGGAAGGTGGTCTCTAAAATATCGTCTTCTGGTGGACTATCGGTTGGAGAGCGGGCTGACACATGTGAGTGCTTTTGTCGCTGTGAACGAACAGTATTAGAGCAAAAATATTATACGAATAATTTTATAGATATAAAGTTAATGGAATTTGTATGCTTACATTATTGAAAATTAAGTTGACTGAATGGTTATCTTAGAGTACCTTACTAAGTTTAGAGTTACCTCATACAGGTAAAATTTTGTGATTGGTTGAAATTCATAATTTTATGTGTAGAAACGAAACAAAATTTATTTATTGGAGTCTTAAAATTGAATAAATGCAAGTGACGTTATCGTAGATAAATCGTGGCATTTGTCGATTAAGAAGCTAATCAATCAGTTTCGATACGTTTGACGTCACTTACAGGTATCCAATAAAATCAGATTTAAATTTCCATGGTTTGGCATATTTCACTCACTTCTTCTCTGGTTGCAAGTATCCAATAGTAGATATGTTGCAAAATTATTCTTAACTATCCAATGTATCTTTTATAATTCAGGTGAAATAATTGGATTTTAAAACTATGATCTACACTTGGCACTTTGATTTTTATTAAATAATTTTTTCTTTCTGTGAAACAAAGAAAAAAAAACTGTTAATTTTCTTTGTTTTAAGATACGACTCGTTGAATGACATGACTCACTCGTTAAGAAGTTATTTATAAATAAACTACCGATTTTACATCTGAATTTTTCTTTTAAATTATAAGAAATTCTTATAAGTAATTATAAACTTATATTCTTGTAAATTAAACTCAATATTTTATTTCTTACTTTTTCGTGCAAGAGTTTTGCGAACAAAATCATAGAACAGTTGTTGCATTTTTAAATTATTTTTTCTATTTCTTTTGGCAACATTCACACAGTAAACATTAATCAAAGAAATAGGAATTTAAATTATGAAAGAAAGCCTCTCATTTTTGCGACTTTATAAAAAAAAAAGCTTTTTTTTCGACTACGACTATGATTAGCTGACTTGTCAAACAACAATTAATTTTCATAGATTTGTTAAAATATTCCCATAAGAAATTATTTCAATAAGATTTTACAACTTTACCAATAAGTGAGAAGGCTTGTTATGCCTTGCATTACAAGCCTTGCATAGTATTATTTACATGGTATTTTGTACAGCTTATTAAAGAAAAAATTCCGCTAATATGTAATGTGAATAATACATCTTACATACAGAATGAATCAGTGCAACGGTTATAAATATGGAAGAGAGATATGGCACATTATAAAGATTGTAATTTGCATTGCAACCTGTGTTCAAAATGCCATCCTACGCTACTAGGGACGCCTCCCTGCTATGAACTGGTTCTTCGTGCACATTTGAAATCGTATTTTTGTTTATCTAAATTTTCGTATTTTGTTTATCTAAATAATCATATTTTAGTTTATCTAAATTAGGTGTCAATTATACGTTTTCTACTGTAATTATTATCAATAATCGCATTTTAATAGACCCAGAAATAATTGTTTTATAGTGATTTAATGATTATGAGACCAACTTGGTGATCACGACAGGATAATCACCAAATTTTTTATTTACGATATAACAGCTACTTTTTAGCCATTCAAATGCATTTTTTGATAATAATTACTAAAACAAATATCGAAATAAGATAATTCAAATAAATGCCGTTTTAAAAGAGCACTAAATGTCAGTTAAATGGGGAGACGCACCTAGTGGTGTAGGATGACATTTACGATGGCATAGATTGAAGTTCATCCTAAGGATTGTCTCAGTCCTTAGAAAGTGCTTTATCTTTTCTCCAAGTTTGTAATAACCCCTATTATCGCCCTGAATGTGGTCTCTGTTCATATATACTTTGAATCTATTATGACAAACTTTTTTTCATTCTATAAATTTTGCAAAATATGAATGTGAAAGTAACAGATATTTAAGTTACATTTTTAACTTGATTATAAATCATTACTTTACCTTTGTATTTACTCGTGGAGGTTCACTGAAATCTATAACTTTACCCACTCTTTTATGTTTTCGGGGTTTTCTTCCTTCGATAGCATCGTATTCAACGGAAGTATCATCCGAAACATCTGGTGTCGCTCTTGTAGTTAAAATTTTATCTTTGTTTGGCGTCCAATCAGTCTGATAACTGCTGCCTAGTGATACCGTTGTAGTCACCATTGGCTTACTTATTTTTCTTGAGCCGAAACTTGAATAAGGATCAGACGTCGTCCCTCTGGTAATTAACGCAACAGATGAGCTAGGTTTATCACTTAATTTGGCGATTGTTGGCGTTACAAATGAAGCTTGAGCTTGCTGGTCGATATTCATGTAACTTAACAGATCTTCTAGAGGTAAAGCGAATCTTGAAACTGGCTTCGTTGGTGTAAGATGTGCCAAGGACTTGTGAGATCTATGGTTGCTCAAATCTCCGGAGTATTTCTTTTTCGGGGAAGTTTTCCCTGCGGGTCCAGAAGTTTTCTTTGATGTTTTCAGTTCTTTTTTCGTACCTATTGTGCCCTCTTTACAAATCCGTGTGTTCAAAACTGATTTGTCTTCGCACACCATAGACAGTTGATTGAATATTGAATCGGTGGGGCAATGGAAAGTGTTGCGTGTACCATCCGGTTGGCAGTAATGGAACACCTCACAGTCGAATTTAGAGTCTGAGAAATAACCCATTTTTCTTCGACAGTCAAAAGTTACTCGAGGTAATATTTTTTTCACAGCTTCTGTATTTTCTTCTGAACTTTTCATGGGAGGGGGTCCTGATGGAAACCATGGACTTGAAGATTGTACTGGTATAGACTGTAAAAAGATTTTTTTTAAAAAAAATTGAATGCAATGCCAGTTGTTAAGAAATATTATTTGTACATCATCATTGATTCTATTATTTCAAATTTATGTGAAAAAACTAGTGTAGAAAAAGTGTTATACTTTGGACAATTTTTACATGTAAGCTTTTAACTTCGTTTACAAATATTTAAGTTATACTAACATTTTACTCTTTAATATATTTATTTCTAAGCAAGCAATTTGAAAATAAAAATTTGTTCTCAATTTAAAGTCGAAATTATTTTTTCCAAAATAAAATCCCTTTTAGTACCATGGGAAATACATTTTGGTGCAGACAATGGTTAATATTTGAACCAGTTTTTGCCTACAAACACTTTATTTTTTTAAGGCTATAAATAAATAAAAAATGCGCATTGGAGATGTAAGTTCTCGCAAAATAAATAAAACAGTCAATGTCGAAACGAGATGAGAGAAACAAATATGAGCGTTTAGAACACTATTTCATAAAGAATTTATTGTAAGAAGAATGTTTGAAATTAAGATTTTCCTGAAGGCATATTATCCCAATTCGATAGGTATTGTCAATTTTGAAAACTTGTATTATTTCTCAAAAAATTAATAACTTTATTAAAAAATATTTTTGATAAGGATTTTTTCATTTGGCTGTAGGATGCAGCTGACTATCTTAAAAGAAAAAGAAAACTATTTATCGATTCGAAATTGGTCGATCCTCGAATCCTCTAAGGCCCACCGAATACATGCTCGTAAAATCTGTGGAATCGAAAGTCCTGTGGTCGGTCGGTGAGCAGTACCATGGCTACAGGAATCTTGAGAAAATTTCCTTCCCCATCAGATCTGTGTCTAAATTGAGGTTTTGGCCTCACGAATGAGTATTGCTGATTCTATCCGCGGGATTCTAAACTAAGACGTACTTTCACCCTTACGGTGCTCTCTTGTCAAACGAAATTCGCACCTTCCTGACTTAATTCGCAAAGGGGCAATGGCTGGCGAACTTGGCTTGTCTAAGTGTCGTTATAACCAACAATTTTTTAGTATCCTTATTCTCAGATTTTGTTTTAAAATTACAACGAAATCGACATAAACTTATTGACTTAAATCCACTACTTGGATAAGAAATTGACGAGCAGTGATGAAATATAATTAAACTTATATATTTAATCCTCTTTAATATACATAGGTTAAAGTTATTACACAATATTTATTGGACCCAGTAGGAAATGTAGCAACGATATTCCCACACTAATCTCGCAGAATTTTTAAGTGTCACAGAAATTACATCATTAGTGATAAGAGTAAGGAAAAAGTTCTGACTACCTAACGAGGCATGCAAAACTATGGACGATATTTTGGAAGAGAAAGCATGATTTTCCGTTTGAGCACCAATGACTTTATGTGCCGGATTAACTTTTTTAGTCCGAATTTTCTGTAGTGTTTTCAGAGCAGATTCATCCCTGGGCGATATGTTTGGCCTTGAAATTACTTTTCCGTGAAGAAAAAAAGTCATTGACAAGCATTTATCATCAGAGACTCTCATTAAAAGCCAATTTAGTCTACTTTCTGCTGCTATAAAAAGGCTTCAGGCTCCTGGGAAACTTGATAAATGAATTCAAAAGATTTCTGTGTCATGGTGGCATTTTGATGTTAATTCTTCGTGTGAATTATGTTAAAAATGACCAGTATATAGCTTTATCCGGAAAGAAAGTTATAATTTCTAAATAATTCAAGTATCTTCATGGCAAAAATCTTCCCGTGAATGTTTTAGAAGCATTTTTAAAATCCCATAAACGTATTACACGCAGTTACTACATGCTTGCTAAAGTGTTTCCACTGTATAAAATTTTAATAATATGTGTGGTCAGAGGAAAATTAATGTATACATTTATACAATTTTTTTTATTTGTTTCACAATGTCATTTAGATGCAAATATTTCAAGTAAAGAAATAAAAAATAATCGGTATAAAGTTTTATCCGTAACTAGAAGTACTAATTCGTAAACAGTTATATTCGCTAACCGAACAAAAATCACTATAGGTGTTTTAAAAACCACTTTAATATTCAAGAAATTTATCTGCATTCTTTGAAAAATGTTTCCAAGCACAAAAAGCTGTGATGTAATATCTCTTCGAAATTTGATGTTGAACAACCTTAAAAATCGTACGAATGAACACTTTTTTCATGTAGTTACCATATCATATTCATATACATATTCATATCATATTCATATGTTTCATATACAATTGAAATGGTGCTCTAAACATCAAAAATGCAAAAGTTGACGCTGAGATTACGCATACTATAAGTTAAATATTTTCGCTTCCGAAAACTCCAGTGTTGGTGCATTTTTGACATTGCCAGTAATTGTTTACAAGCGATAACAAGTTGGCAAGTGCTTATGGTTGACTTCAAAGCTGCTTTTCATCTACAGAGACAAATATTCGCTGTTAAAAATCATGTTTTTAGTTGCGCAATAAGAATTTTTATATGCTAATTTTGAAGTGTCTATAAACTCTATTAAATAGTTTTATCATATATGATTTTTATCCGCTACTACTTTGTTAAGCGTAGTTCAAATTGGTCTCAATATTCCCCTATGCTACTCGTATGTTTTATTTACAAACTAATTTCATTTTAAGAATTAGTGTATGTAGTATGTATGCTGCATAAGTTATTGATTCTTTCTTTATAGTGTCGCGTAAAAATAATTTCACTATTCTTCTGTGTATTATATCCTACTGAAATTATAAATTTCAGTGTTACTGATCTACTAACACTGGGGCGACTTCTTCACAACGAGTAAAAAATATTCCATATTCAGCACGAGGAACTATCCTTGGTTTTAGAGCAGTGGAACACCACTTTAGAGTAAAGTAGTTGCCACCGTTTTTGTGTTCAGATACTCGAAATTTTTTTACAGTGTCCGATGAAGATTTTTCATTGTTAATAAAACATTTTTAGAATATTTTCATCAAAATAAATGTATATTTAATTACAAACGTCGCCTTTTTAGACATTTGAAAGAAACGAGAGAGGCAGAAATAATCGTCAAATCGACAAAAATTATCGTCATATAGACAACAATTGTCGTGTAGTTTAAAAATGTAATTCAAGTTCCTTGTAAACAATGCGCTTTAATGGAGGTATTAAGAAGCAAATGTTTCGTATAAATAATTTTAAAAATAAGCATAAGCATACCTGCAACGTAAATTAATTCTTGAATTGAAATTAGTTTGTAAATCTCACTTACGCATAGCACAGAGAGAATATTGAAACCAATTTGAATTACGATTAACAAAGCAGAAGCGGGGGAAAAAATAACGTGTTTCTATAAATATGAGTTAAAAACTCGTAAATAATGTAAGTTAAGAGCTAAAAATTTTCCTTAATTGTTTCAGAAATTTTTTTAATGTCGCAGAAAAATAGCAGAATTTCTGCGTGTCCACAAAATATTTCCCAGATCTGAATCGTTGACAGTATATCAGAAAGCTTTGGGTTTTTTTCTTCAGAATATATAATTAAGTTTCAAGATAATCGGGGAATTTAGTAGAAATAGATGTGACAAAAATAACTGCTAAATGTTATTAAAAACCGTAAAAAAATGTTATCGAAGCATACTAACAGCATAAAATTTCCTATTAATATCTCAGAATCATTTTTAATATTCCGAAAACGTTGCACAGTTTCCACCTCACGATGTGAAGCTTAGAAAGTAGATCATTTTTAATTTAATTTAATGTATTAATTAAATATTTGATAGTAGATCATATATTAAATTTAATGGCAAGTTAATAATTTTTAGGCATTTTAACAGAATATATTTGTTAAAAGTAATTGCCAAATGTTCATTAAGATATGCTTAAAGCTCGCAGGAAACTTAATATATGCATTTTAAAAGAAATCAGTACAAGTAAAATAGTTAGAAGTAAATAAGTTGTGTAAATAAAATTGAAAACGACCACATGGAAACAAAATCCTATTCTGAAAAGGGTAAAAAAAGGGAAAAAAAACATCTTTTCCTAAAAACCAATATCAAAACTAACTAATATCAAAATTTTTAAGTGTTGAAATTTAGAAAATCAAAATTTCTTGAAATTTTGCATTAATGATAAGAGCTTACCATTCCTTCAACCTTTCAAAGCAGAATTTTTATTAAATAGTATGTTTTTCATACTCTTTTTTTCAATATTTTGTATTAATTTTGGTAAAAATAAGTGAAAAATATTATATTTATTATTTTAATAATTTATGGCTTTGAAATACAGCATGAAGCACAGGTGCTTTTTTCTGCGTTAAAGGTAAAATCTTCGAAACACTTCCAAACAATAATTTTTCAAATTTGCACTTATTTAGATATTGAAATTTCTTTAATTTACAAAAATCCATTAATACATTTTCAGTTTACTATTAGACAGTTTTTTGTATTTAGAACGTAAACACTATGTACGTAAACACTATGTGTATCTATACACTATGATTTTATTGTATTGATATATTTTGATTTGGCTACATTGATGCAATATTCGAAAGCACTCCTATTTGCGGATATAATCGTGTGAGCTGATGAAGAGATTATATCTTTTTTTCCGGATTTGTATTAATTTAAAAAAAATTTTCTTCGTTTTTCTTTTTTTTTCTCTTTGTATTTATTTATTGTACTATATATATATAAGTTCAAAATGTAGATAAAACAGGGGAAAAATAACAGAACAATGAAAAAGGGAAAAGAAGGGAAATAAAAATAACAAAATACCAGGAAAAAAGAAAAATCCGAAAAAAGGACAAATTTTTTTAAAAAATCCGGAAAATAAAAGATATAATCTTTTCATCAGCTCACACGATTATATCCGCAAAAAAGAGGATGAAAAGATTATATCTTTCATTTTCCGGATTTTTAAAAAATTTTGTCCTTTTTTCGGATTTTTTTTCTTCTTCTTTTTTTCCGGTTTTTTGTTATTTTTATTATTATTTCCTTTCTTTTCCCTTTTTTCATTGTTCTGTAATTTTTCCCTTGTTTTATCTACATTTTGAACTTATACTATGAGTTCTATTTACTTGCAGCTTATGCGGAATAAATAAAACTTATTGTTTTTCTTAATTTTCTTCGTGTTTTTTTGTATTTATTTATTATGGTATATTTATATATACACAGACCTTGCTGAGTATTTGTTTATACGATTTCACTATATTTGCTTATCTTCGGCGTCGGTTGTATTTACAATAAGTCACATATTTTATCCGATCGCCTTCTCCGCATACACTATAAGTGTTTAAAGCACAATGAATAATTATCATAATATATACTATAGTTTTTGTTCAAATGAATGAACAATGTAGTGTTGATGATTACACTGTTTTCTTTTCTCCAGAAAGTTGTTTCGACCATTCATTCAGAGATTTATTGTTAAAGTGATGCATTTTAGTAGGTCGAAAATGAAAGGGAGAGCGAATCACAATGGATTAACAATTCATTAAATTAGAAAAGAAGTTTCAAAACCAGATTACTTTTGTTATCTAATAATTGTTGTGAAGTATTTTTCCGCAAAAGTTGACCTTAGTACCTCGCGGTGCCTAGGCTATATCATTTCAAGGCCGGCATTTCTAACCTAGTTTTAGTTAAGATATGTGTTTTTGTTTGATATACTGCACCGGGAAGTGACAGGTTATCGCTTGCCGGTAACGTGTTCTGAACAATGAGTATTTTCCATCAAAATATTAATTACCATTGAATAAGTTATGAAAATTTTTCAAATTGCATAGGGAAATAGGTATTGAAAATCTAATAAAGTAGGCCATTACCTGTGTTGTTTTCTCAGCTTTGCTTATCCCTCTGTCCAGCAGAAAAACTGAAATTAAAATTTTAAACACCATGAGTGTCATATTACAACTATGGAACTTGTTAGATAAAAGGATTAGTCAATTTTCAAGAACTAATTCTGTTGACTTCAATTATTAAAACGGAGAAAAACTCAGCAATATTTTTTGTGCTTGAAAGAACTTTCAAACAAATTCTGCATAATTGCAATTTTATTGATGAAAGAGTCATTTTTACAAAAAAGAAGTTCTAAATACAATCATGTTTCGTTTCTCTCTATATTAAACGGTTGCCGCAGCTATTGAGAGTGTTCAACTAAATGCTACATTTCGTTTAGCGGCTCAAGAAACTTGAAGTTAAAAAGGCGTGTAGAAAATGTACAGAGAGTACGATGGAATAAGAATGAAAGAACTTTCAAACAAATTTTTCATAATTGCAATTCATTGCTAAAAAGAGTCATTTTCACAAAAAGAACGTTTTAATATAATCCTGTTTCATTTCTCTCTATATTAAAGAATGGAAAGCGTCAACGCTTCTGTTGAGGGGGTGGTTGAACTAAACGTTACATTTCATTCGGAACATTTGACTATTAGCTTGAGAATTATTAATTGTTAAACTCTTACGGAAATAATACCAAACGGTCAGCTCTTCAAGATTCAGAAAAGCTACAGTGTAAAAAATTTCAAAAACTAATTTTGACACGAGAAAAAAATTTCTAAAAATCTCAGAGAACTTAATTTAATATCATGTTTCCGATTAATTGAGAAACATTTTAAGGAAACAGAATCACATTGACGCCAATTCAGTTTTAGTGGTTCCCGAAATATTCAGAAACGTTTTTGAAAATTGCATGTATCGTAGCTGCCTCATATATTCAAAAGCGTTTCTGGATCTTTTTTTACAGTGTATTTCACTATTAAAACTTAATGTGTTGAAAGGGCCGTTTTGTTTAAATACTTTTTTTTCAAGTCCAGTTGATTATTTTTCAAATTCAAGTAATCGCTTATTTTGTTACAATTAATATATTAACAAAATGTTCTTACACGAAATAATAATATTTGTATATTTTATAGAACAAAATTATTATTATTATTGGAAAAAATATCGATTTTTAAAGAAAAAAAAGTTTAAAATAACTGCAAGGCAACAAGTAAACAGGGGCTGAGCCTTTTAGCTGTATAAAAAAAGTTTAGAATTATCGATCTCAAAATTAATCTATCCTGAAAAGTTCTAAAAAAAAATTCGTTGTTTTTAACTGCGTTTTTATTGACTCATTTTTATGTTAGGGGGGATGGATTGAATTAAAGTTCCGTGCCTGATGACAAATCGAGTTATAAGTGTTTTCTGTCCGGTGCAAGCATAATTTATCGTCATTTTATTATCAACTGGAATATATCGCAAAATTGATTTCTGACTACTGCCCAGCTACTTCGTATTCTAAGATTTAAAGTCGAGCTCTGTACTGTGAGATAAAAGAAATTTTAATCGTTTCCTGACAAAGTAGAATTTATCGTCATATAACCAATAAACTTTCATATGACCGACATTATTATAATTTCGACTTTTGTTCACCTTTTTTTTTTTACAAGCTAGTTATAACCATATAGTTTCTTTCCTTAAAGTTTTTTGCAACAATTTTTGGTTTTCTTTACTTTTTTATTATTTCATTGGTCGAATTTTGCTCTATCGCTTTTACCGACAAGCCGTTATTGGCAAAGAAATGCATCAACCGCATTGCTGATAATAGACATTTTATAAGATGAAGAGTTAAAAAAGGCTCAAACGATTCTTAATGATAAAATAAATAAGCTAAAATTTTTAAATTTTGGAATACCGGATAATTTACTTGTATAAGCTTACTGACGCTACGATGGCGCAGTTGGTTAAGATGTCGCTCACACAACTGATGTAGATCTTGGGGTCGTGAGTTCGATCCTGGCTGTCGACTAAACAACCAGCTTGTATACGTATAGAAGGTGCACGAAAAATCTGTCGTGGTTGAAAGTTCTCTCTTTGGTTGTGATTTAAAAGTTTGGAGAGAGAAGTATCGGCCCAGGTGCGCGGCATTCCGACCACAGTTGTTAAAAGGTAGAGCTTAAAAAATGGGATAGGTGATTGACCATGATTAGATGGTGCGTTTGTATAAGTTTGGTTTTAAAATCATGACGCGAAAAAAAACTTGATGAACTAAAAGTAACGTTATTGCTTGCAAAGGTGTTAACTTTAAATTCGCTGTTTTTAAACGTTCTTTAACACAAATACTTTAACTGAGGAATTGTGATAATTACTAATTCTAACATAAATGGGATTTAAGTAATTATTAGAAATAAAATATCATTTTTTACTGAACTAATTTTCCTTCATAGTTAACTAAATCTCAGACAGTTTAAATAGGATGGTTATTTATAAATACAATGTTAACCTATTTTTTTTTTTTCAAACAAAATCTCAATCATTTATTTTTTCAAACGTCAATAGAGTTTTTAAAAATATTTTCTTCTACTGTTCCATACTGTGTTCTTTGCTATTTTAAGATCTTGAGCATTAATATAACAATGCCTTCAACTTAAAAATCAACTAATTTTTATTTATTAATCATAAATTGAATAAACTATCTAATTAAACTCGGTAATTTCTCCAGTCATTCACCTTACGCACGAAGAGTTAAGCAACAAATTGTTTACTGAACTCCCAGAACAATAGGTCCCATGCTCTTCTGATTGATCTAATAATTGATTTTCATTCTTTTTTCAGTTTTTTTTTTCTCAACCGAAAGAACTGCTTCATCTCTTTCTTTCGTCCTCGAAAATTAAATTACGACTTTTTTTTTCCGCGTTTAATTGCATCCAACGTGAAAGTGATGAAAATGAAACCAAGTTCAAAGTCCTTGCAAACTTTCTCCTTGCTATTGACCACCATATTCCACACATGAGTGGTCAGAGAGCTCTTGTGTCATTTGGCGCGACCCAAGAAAGCATGACACATCCTATGACAAGACGAAAGAGAGGATTTGACTGTTCATTAGTAAGGTTGATAGACACCGTGCTCCAATAATTGTTGATTTCGCTTTTCCTTAAAGTACTCGTTGGCGTGTGTCCTTTACTAATTAGTTATATGGCGTATAACTGTAATCCATAACTGTCACTAACTCTCATTTTAAACGATGCAAAACGCATTCATCAAACCGGGACAAAAGTTGGATTTGAATATGCAACTTTCAACTGAATCCCTTTATCAACTGAAAAGTCGAGTGAATAAAAGATCTTAGAGAAATTTTTAGCGAATTTGAGTAACTTAACTTTTAAGTTCGTGCGTTAACAGCAGTAAATAAAGATTATTCCTTGTCATTATTTCTCCTCGTAAGACGCCAATTGGTGAAATCTGTAATTCCCAATTCCCTAACACTCTTTTGAACTATTGGCGTCATAGCGTTCGCTCTTTTGGACTCTCAATTTTTGGCCAATGCAGTAAACAGTTAATACGCTTAATTTATACACAACCATATTATCTGCAAATTTATTGAATGTAAAAAGAAATTCAGCTCAAAAAGCATAAAACTCACTTGAGCACTATGCCATCAATAATTTATTTTCATGGTATGGTCGCCGTTGTCATTTTAGAATTTAAAACTTTATGATAAGCAGATAACATTGAGTATAAGATCATAGAAATAGGAGAGAAAATGTAGATATTATTTATTGCAATTTTTATCCCAAGATTTGAATCATATATCAGTTAGATCGATTTTAATCCCAATAAATAGAAAGTGTTCTTTCATTTACTAAAATTTAGCAAACCACTTCCCCTGATAAAGAAATAGGGGTACAAAAAACGTATTTTTGTATTGAAATCTTCATTCTACTTTTGAACTCTATGGATAGATCGATATCGATTTCAAACTATCAGTAAAATGCTACTTCTTTTGAAAATTTTAAATGTTTTTTATCCTTATTAAAAAAAATTCTAAAGCATTATATTTATTTCACAGAAAGTACTGTACAGATTGTTTTTTTTTTTGTATTGCTGAAATTCTATTGCTTTGTTTTCTTTTATTGTTTTTAACTTCCACCCGTGATTTTGTATTCTGAATGCATATCACTTCGATTCATATGAATAAAATTGACTGACAGAATGTTTAATCACAAGTCACAAACAGCACGTCGCTATAGATGAAATAAATTGCAAATTATGCTATTAAAGTGGTAAATCATTGACTTCCGTTTACACATTAATCACAAGTCACAAACAGCAGGTCGCTACAGATGAAATAAATTGCAAATTATGCTATTAAAGTGGTAAATCATTGACTTCTGTTTACAAATCACATCATCATTTCACGCAACTAAACTAGTCTTGCCAATTTTTTGATAAGTTGATTTTAAATAACGCCAACTTCTGGGGGAAGAAAACTTCACTTGAATTCAAAATTTAGAAACAAAATGATATAACAATGATCTTAACATATTGATTGGTATTAACATAAACATATTGAATGGTATATATGTAACATATATGTAATATATATATATGTAACATATTGAATGGTATTAAAATGATATGAATGATTTATTTCAAGACTTTTAAGGGGGGCCAATTTATGTCTAAAATCAGATCAGATTAAGGCTCCTATACTATCAGAGCTGACCTATCAAGCAATATTGGAGCAAAAAAGTTCACAAGTTAACGTTATGTTAGTATTGTGCTTATTTGGAGCAAAAATAGATGATGAGTCGGCCTGTCTAATTCAGGGGCTCTAGATCAGATCAATCTGAATCAGATTTAATTGGATACCAGAAAATGATGTCACGCGTGTATGTCGAACCTGATTGGCTGACCCACGCGTGACGTCGATTGCAAGTCAAGTATATAACTGTGATTGAAAAAGTATATTCTGAGTTTTCTTTAACTGCTTAAATTAACAAATGAAAAAATTTACTCACCAATTAATGAAGAAATAAATACGGGATAGGCGTTTAGCCTATGATAAATCATTGTAATATCTTTTTTCTTGTTCTTCAAGATATTCTAACCATGCTGCTTACAAAATCAACATTTCCTAAAACTGCTTTCTTTAGTTTAATTTCATGATGGTAACTGTAGTTTCTTCTGTAAAATTGAAAATAAACAGCCATTAACTACATGGAAAATGTTTTTCACAATTCATTTTTCTTAACTATCTTACTAAACAATTTACTTACTAGTACAATTTAATGAAATAAGATGATTGTTTATTTACTTTTTTAATTCAATTTATTTATATTTCAAATAAAATCATTATTTTATGAATTTTTATTTCAATAAAAATCTTATTTCATTAAATTTTACATGCTGAAAATCATTTAAGGTATCCAATTGGTTTTGTCAAAATTTTTTTAAAGCTTTTTATTATTTTTTTATTAAGATTTTTATTTTTATTTGGCAATTTTTAATTAAGTTTAATTAATGAAAACAAGGCAAAAATGGTTTTAGTTTTGTTTTCGTAAGTTTACTTCCGGTTTCGGTTTTTGTCTGACAACATACGAAAAAGCAAGTATACCTTAATTTCTAAAAATCGGAGTTTAAATATTTAAGGAGTTTTGGAAGGCTAATGAACTAAGGTTTAAATATGGATAACAAAAAGAAGAAAAAAAATCAGAATTTTATCGAAATTGCCGATATTTCCCCAAAATTTATGTAGCGTATAAAGATATAGTGTATAAAATTACTTGAATCTTCAACTTTAATTTACTGTATCCAACTTAACTTTAATGTACTCTTCTATATTCTCTCAATTTAAATTAATTATACTTTACTTTCACGATGCTAACAACTACTGAAATAAATTATTAAAAGTAATTTTTTCTTACTTACGATTATTTTCACTTAAAAATATTTAAAAACAGATGAAAATGATTTAAATACGTTGTTTTGAGCTTACACGTACAATAATAGAATAAGAAACTGTTCTATAAGAATATATTCTTATTAAATAGATTAGCCAAAAAAGGTATTATATCCGAGTATAGAAATTTAGGGAGAAAAAATTGCCATTGCAAGAATTTCAGGGAGAAAAAATTTGCTAATTCAAAAATTTATGGGAAAAAAGTTGCCATTGCAAAAGTTTTAGGGAGAAAAAATTGGCTAATTCAAAAATTTAGGGCTAAGAAGTTGCCATTGCAAAAATTTAGGGTGAAAAAAATAGCCATTGCTAAAGTTCAGGGAGACAAAATATTGCCACTTGCGTGAAAAATTTTGCACACACGTGCTTAAATTTTTGCTTTAAATGAGCTTTTTCTGCAATACGTATCCTATATTTCCAAATATATTATGAAAAGCGTGGCGATCACGAAGGCTTGAATCAAAACAGTAGTAAAAGATATTCACGCATAGCTATTTTGAACGAATGAAAGAAAACCTTCAAGGTTGAGGAAAACCATCAAGAAGAATTGATGATTACTTAAAAGCTTGGCCTTAATACAAAGAGAGTGGAAATTTGCTCACAGGTGAATCCGAAACTTCTGCCCGACCTATTTTTAATGATCTTCTTCCAAACGCACAGCAATATTTTGAATACTTAAATTAAGGCTCTAATGAAAGATTTATGGCTATCTTGGATTCGCTACACTTCGTATCTCAGACATTATTCCTTAATTATAGATGTAAATCACTAATGTGTGTTAAACTATCCAAATTTTCCTATATAACACGTTTTAGGATTTGTAATCACGTAATGGTGAGAGAATGACTAAAACCGATTACTTTTATTCGTTTATTGTCGATTAACTGAATAAGATGTTTTTAGGGCATCGATATTATATGCGTTAAACTATCACTTATTCGTGAATCACAAATTCAAGCATTATAGTCACTTAATGGTGAGAGAATGGCTAAGACTGATTACTTTTATTCGGTAATTGTCGGTAATTCTATGTTTGTGTGACTACGTTTTATATTGTATGAGTTAAACTCTTACTTATTCGTGTGTTGTAATTTCAAGCATTAATGGCTAGAGAAGTATAAAACTGATTACTTTGGTTCGTTAATTGTTGGTTAAATAAATATTTTATGAATACGTTTCAAATTGTATGAATTGAACTATCACTTATTCGTGTATTGCAAATTCAAGCATTATAATCACACAATGGTGAAAAAATAAATAAAACCGTTTACTTTTATTCGTTAATTGTCTATTATTTTAACATTTTTTCATAACAATCTTTTACATTGCATGCGTTATACTTATTCGTACGTCATAAATTTAAGAATTATAACCACTTCATGATGTGAAAATGACTGAAAATTAATATTGTTAATAATTAAAATGTTTGTTTACTGAATAATATATTTAGATGATAGTTTTTAAGTTGTTTTTATAGATACTAAAAATTTATCACTCCCTCTTTTTAGAATGTTTAGGACATTAATAATTTAATGTTGCTTTCTTATAATTTGTTAAATGATCAAATATTATCATTACCTTTCATAATGTAGTTCATAGTATTTCAAAAGTAAACATTTATAAGTATTATGACTTGAAAGCAATTTTTGTTGTTTTAACTGGGGTACAAAATCAAGTATGAAGTATTTACATTGTTGATTTTAAAAACTAAACTGAAAGTATAAAAATTAAATATTTTTTACCAAAGTTATTCTTTTTGAAAGGAAAATAGTTGATCATGCAGAAAATTTGTTCGAGCATAGTTCCTGAATGCTTTTCATTACATGATTGGATGACTATATAGTAGTTTTATTTATTTGGAGCAACAAACTGATTTACTTTAAAATTGCATAATAATATGGAACCATAATTCTTATTGCTATAGACTCCTCCAGAAATCTGAAACGTAACTCGATAAGCCGAAATAATTGAGACCGAACTTATTTTGGATATTCGAAATATTCGGGTTTTATAAAAAGGCTTTTTTATTCATATAGGAATCAAAATTGGTTGGAATCATTTCATCGATGGAATCAAAATTGATAATTTAAAAATATACTGTAAAAATAGAGTTATGAATGGCGATAAACAAACTTGTTCAAACTTGCGGAAAACTGTTAAGTACCCTTTTCATAGTAAGTGCTAAATAGTTACACAATTTTACGCGTCGGGTTTTGTTGGGTAAAGGGTAAAGAGGGGTGAAAGTTCTATACTGCTATTGCAGTGTTTCCTAAAGTGTGGTACACGTACCCCCCGGGGTACGGGTACAGTTCAGCGGGGGTACGTGTTCTTATGCAAAATATCTTGATACAAACAAAAATTTACGATTACGTATTTTTTATTGGCTACTTTTTGCAGAGTTAACAGTCAATAATTAGTGGTGTCAACAGCCAGCTGTGATTTTTAACTTTTGTGCAATTTTTTATAGTAAAAAGTACATTAATTTTTTTATTAGTGGTACACAGGTGCTACGAAAAATTTAGAAAGGGTACACAAAAGTCATAAGTTTGGGAAACACTGCTGTAAGTGTAGTGTGAGTCGTGATGGCTCAGGGTATAGTGCAAACGCTTCCCAATGAGGTGACCACCCGGGTTCGAATAACAGCGATAGCTGGTCGATGCGAATTCCGCACCAGGCTCGCACCGACCACATTGCTGAAGTAAAATATCATCAGTAGACGGAACAAAGAATATACAGTGTGAGAAGAAGTCTAGCTTCTCCGATACGCAGCAGGGGCCAGCAAGGTCCCTCTGTATGACAAGAAAAGCGCCAAAGGTTTCTGAGCCGACGCATGCGCACATCTTTCATCCATCATAGCGTCTCTAAACTTGTTTAACAACAAATTTTTCGCCATATTTAAAGTGACTGTTTAAAGTGACATCTTTAAGTGACCGATATCTATTTAANATGTATTAAACAATTAATGTGCAACAGACATCAAATTGTCAAGATATAAAACTTAAAAGTATTTAAAACATATATAGATTTTTTACGAAAATTGTCCACAAAAAAGGACAACTAATATATTTTAGTTCACTGGCCACAAAAAAAGGCTTTGCAGGCGGCCAATTGGCAACCACTGATGTAGCTTATAGTATTTAGAAAGTAAACATTTATAAGTATTATAATTTAAAAGCGATTTTTGTTATTTTAACTAGGGTGCAAAATCAAATATGAAGTATTTGCATTAATGATTTTAAAAACTAAAGTGAAAGAATAAAAATTAAATCTTTTTTACCAAAGTTATTCTTTTTGAAAGGAAAATAGTTGATCAGGAAGAAGATTTGTTCGAGCATAATTCCTAAATGCTTTTCATTACATGATTGGATGACTATATAGTAGTTTTATTTATTTGGAACAACAAACTGATTTACTTTAAAATTGCATAATAAAATGGGACCACAATTCTTATTGCAATAGACTCCTCGAGAAATCTGAAGCGTAACTCGATAAGCCGAAATAATTGAGACCGAACTTATTTTGGATATTCGAAATATTCGGATTATATGAAATGCTTTTTTTTAATTCATATCTATTTTCATCGATGGAATCAAAATTGATAATTTAAGAATATACCGTAAAAATAGAGATATGAATGGCGCTAAACAAACTCGTTCAAACTTGCGGAAAACTGTTAAGTACCCTTTTCATAGTAAGTGCTAAATAGTTGCACAATTTTACGCGTCGGGTTTTGGTGGGTAAAGTGGGATGAAACTTCTATTCTGCTATTGGATCCCTTTTTCTCAAAACATAGAGGATAGCCGCAATCTGCGAAATATGTTCCCAATAGTTTGGTCAAGAAGGCGGTCTAAAGTTTAAACCCCTTGATTTTAATCTTACTTTAGGCTTATTTCGCCATTACAAAAGTCATATATTTATAATTCGATTTCTCAGGAACTATTCTACCGATTTCCATTTAAAATGATATTCTTTAAAATGATGCAAAATTTTAGACACATTGAAATTAAAAATATTTTGGCTACTATTAAATAAAATAATAAGTTATTACTAAAAATTACTTTTTGTACGGAATTATCTGTGGATAAACAAATTTTATAATTGTGAACAAGAATTTTTCAATTCGCTAAAAAAGTTCTTAGGACATGGTGAAATGCACGGAAAGTAAAATTAATATCAAGGAGTTCAAGTTTTGGATTTCTGTCCTGCAACTATTGGGACCATATTTTCT